CCTTTGGAGCTCTTGATGGGCTCAGATATAAAACTGGGATGGTTACTGAAGTCGAATTATTCTTCGATGCCACTGTAAAGGTCTTAAAAAAGAACCCAGAATCAACACAACATTGGAAATGCAACATTTCTCACCGGCTTTCAATCTCGAAATGAGCGGGTTGGTGAGCTGTCAACCTGTGGCTGGCGCAAGAAAGTGTGAAACACATGATGCGCAGGATTCGATATGAGGGTAGATAAATATAAAAATATGCAATTGAAGTATAATAACATTTAAAAAGACTTTAAAGGTATAATGCGTACCAGCAGACACAGATAATTAGAAATATCGTTTGACAAGCGCGTAATGATACACGGACTAGTTCGCGAAGATAATTAGACAAATATCGTTTTGACAAGCGCGTAATGATACACGGACTAGTTCGCGAACGCAAAAATGCGTCCGTGGGTCAGTGTCGTGTTTTTCCTAGCAAGGTAAACAAGCTCATCGACTTTGAATTTGAAAGGCGGCCGCGCGTTATATTTTTCGTCATTTAGCAGTGACTATAAGGCCGGTGCATCTTAAACTATACGCTATCCCCTTCTATTTTTCCCGCTCTATAAGATGGCGGTGTCCATTTTCCTCTATCTACGTGCGTCGCGGTCTTCAACCTCTACCAAAAGGATAAAAGAAGGATACAGACAGATATCGATTAATTCAAAGATGCATTACACCCATGTCATTTCTGTTGTATGTGAAAAGTTCTTTATGGAGTGTATCATCAATACCAGTAGTGTAAGAAAATTTCTGTGGCTTCCAGGCCTTTGGTGCTGCAACAAAGGTTAACAAATATCCATTGCTTATATCCTGGTAGGATACAGCTCAGGCTGGTTCCGTATTTGATGATGAATTACCTATGAAGTTTAGAATACTATTAGCTATTTAATTCATTGAGACTAGGCTACATAATGGTAGTGACATCCACTCAAGGTATTTAGGCATGCATATTTTAGGAAAGATGTAATAGACATTTTTATTGGCTTGGTAACATAACATAGACACATGATTGGCTGGTATATGTGTTTGGTCATATTTTTATTGTTGCTAAGACCATCGCATCAACTTTGTCAGGAAAAATGTGTTATTTGAGAAATATAAGTGTACTACAGATATATACCAATTTAGTGACAAATACAGCTAGCAACTTTGATTTAATAGTCCTGATAGTAGAAGTTCATCAGAGTAATTTTAGGTTGAATCAGGTGGAAATGAATTGAATATAGGGGGGGAGTTGCAATACAGTAAAACACTAATTAACCCCTTGGACCCAGATGACATTGTGGTCACGCCATGAAAAAACTTGAAGCGAGGGGTGGGTGACATGAACATTCCGTCATTGAACTAAATGGCCGCGGCTCAGGTTACATGAACTTGCCATTATGCGCTAAGGCCAGGGTGATGGAAAAGAATGGCCACAAGTGCACAAACCTCTTAGAGTGTGATTTGACTCATTTTCCGCTTTGAAGAGGGCATTAGCATTATTTCCATCATTAAATGAATGTTGAATGTAACGTGCATTAGTAGTGACTGGAAGAGCACTGACTCCAGGGAGGACACCATTTTCAAGCCGTGTATCATATTCCTGGCTGCTGTGACCGGCGGCACAAGTTGTATTACGTAAAATTGAAAATTATAAAAAAAGATATATAATGATATGGAGACTGTGCAAGGAAATTAAGCTATTACCATCTGGATAAAGCAAATCAAAAGGCAAATATGGACATTGGAAAATGGCAATAAAACTAAAAAAGATTACACAAAATAACTTTGCAAAGGGAAGGTACAGAGTCTTGTCGCCACTCATGGGTGTTCTTGCATGCCCAGGATGTTAGCTACTTATGTAACACCAATGCCTCTGTTTTTTCACCGTGATTTCCGAGATGCATCTGGATCCAACGGGTTAATTGAAATTGGTGAATGAAATGCGACAGACAAGATCCCAGATTCAAAAAAGGTTAATCTTTATGAGATGGATACACTAAGCTCGGGCATATTGAAGATGGTATTATTGTAAAGCATAAAAAGTTGCTATTGTTAGTACAAGAAATAATGTATAGACGCAAATGGTAACACCACAAATGAAGGAAAAATATAACGAAAAGTACTATTCACAGCCTAGTCCCACTTGGTGCTCTTGAGTTTCAGGTCCATTTTGCTGTGCATACCAAAATGAAGACAATGTAACCCAGTGGATGTTGGGCGGCAAAGCCCCCTTCAACCTTCCACCTTGGCAGTGCCTAAAGGGCATGCCAAGTCATGGCAACTTGATTAATAAATTTGATGACTTGGAGTTGAGGACTTAGTGTCTGGCAAGTATGTCCATACTGTAAAGAATTACCAAAAAATGTTTAATAGAATACACATTACCATAATTTCGATCTAACCCCTTACCACAGGGCTCAGCCGTCTGGGCCCCATACCCTTTATACATGTTCTTAAAAAATCCCTGTGGTGGTTAAATAATTCTAGCCATACTCTCCACCAAACATTTGACCCCTTGACCCCCATGGTATCTAATGTTGAAGCTATATCTTCCTGCTCTCCCTTACTATTGGGCCCAAGATTTTAGAATATAGGGGAATTTCCATTCAGTAATTCTTACCCACAGCCATATTTGAGAATTAGAAAACTTCACCTGTACCAGTATTGTAGTGCTTTAGGACATATTTATTTGAGACAATTACCTACATTTCAACTGACCTATCAAAACATCCCATTCGTGGTGCTTCCATATTTAAATGTCTTAAACATGTAAGTCAGCCATGATGTAATAGATGCTATAAAGGTATAGAGACTACTGCAATCACTTGATATTTTGAATGTTATGTGTATAATAGATACTAAATAACTTTGCAATTTTGCAACAAATGAATATCAAAACAGAAAGAAAAAAATGCTTGAAAGATATGGATGTGATGTTAAAGTTTACTTATGACAGCACAAAGTAAAATTGAGGATATTGGAATCATTTAAGAAACTTCAGCACCTGTGATGTATGTGGTTAATATTGTCCTAAGCAGACCACTGATGGTGCAGAGATGATGGCAGTCACTTGACACTGTCAGATTGGAATTTGATGATTATAGCTTGGACCTTTGATCACATATTAGTTTAATCTTAATGGTATTGACACACTACACTCAGGCAAATTGGAGATGATATTCTTGTAGATGACTGAGAGTTGTAGTTGTGGATGCAACAAACAATCTGCAGACAAGGACAGTAACATCACAAAAAGAAGGAAAAGATTGCAAAAATCACCGCTCACAGCCAAAGTCCAATTTTGCGGGATCTTGAGTTTCAGCTCCATCGTGTCATGTAGGCCGAGGGGAAGATAATGTTCCCCGAGGGGTGTGGGGGGGGAAGAGCACCCCATAAACCCTCCCCTTGAGCAGTGCCCAAAGGGCATGCCCAGTCCTGGCAACCTAGATTTTTTAATAGAACTTTTGACTGATTAGAACAAAGTGCTTACATTAAACTAGTAAGGCTAGGTGTTTCACAGGCCTGTGGATTGTCATGCCAGGTAACACCATGCACCTATCTCTGTAGATGCCGGGAATTGCACAATTCCATCTAGCATTTAGGTTAAAACATTGCCAATGCCTAGCATCTGATATAATACTCATTCGTTAACATATGCCAATTTCCCCTTTTAAAAGTCATTGTGAGTGTCATATAAGTGTTTAATGATACAGTTTACTGGCCTCAAAGGTAATTTATACTCAAATATAATATTAGTCAGAGGTCTTTTCTTGTGAGGGTGTATATTTTGAGGAGTTGTTGGCCTCTGCCAGAGTACAGAGCACAGACCTCATAGCATTACATGATGTGTTCCCATGATGAATAAATACTGGACTGGTATTTCACTGTTTATTAGAACACATGCATGGTATATTTGTTCTCATGTAGATAAACAGGAATGGATTTTTGGGCAACTTTTGTACTAGATATGTGTATTAGGAGATTGTTTTCAGTATAATTACAAACAGTCCATGGAACTGATAAATCAGTAGATTCTATGACATGTATCTTTTTTGATAGTTGACATAAATTTAACATTAAGAAAAGATTTAAATAAAATTGAAAAGAAGTAGCAACCTTTGATCATTTTCTTCATGACCATGATGTATAAAGTTTTTAGGGTATGATTACAATTTTGAGAATAGGTATATAGAAGAGCTATAAGGTGAAAATGGAGTTAGTGGTCTAAGATCTATCCAACTGGAATATGGTATAGGTTTGTTGGCCTTTGCCACAGCGCCAGAGGCATTCTTTACTGCGATTGCTGGGCAAGTTATTGGAGGTTTGCTTATTTTGTAAATAAGAAGGAGTGTATAATTAATGTGTTGATGATTGTAGTGCTATTATGAATAAGAATAGAAAAAGATTGTCTATATACCTGCATTCAGCAACAAGCTGCTGATTTTTGCATTACTCATCACACTGTTTGCATATGTTTTGCATTAAAATGTATCAAAGTCATTATATTCTTATTTTTCTTGAGAATTTTATACATATTTGTGTTTGATTTTATTTAAATTGAAAATATTACCTTGGAACTATTCCGTCATGAGTTTGGAACATTTTAAGAATGTTTTGTTGGTGCTCATTTCATATGGTTTGTAGTTCATTTTAGCCTAGTTTCAGAATATGATTTGAATATTAGCTATGCCTTGATTTGAAGAAGAAAATCATAGCAAGTATAATACATTTTATTTTGATATCAGTGTTACCACTAGTTTCAAAATAGTTGTATTGGAAAAAGGAATGGTTATTTATTAAATATTTATCCACAGACATTTTTGAAAAGTATTAAAGACATAATAGGTTTTTTACCATATTTCTCCAAGATCCCGAAGTCCTCTTTTTTATCACTGAAACCACAGCCTCTCTGTCAGAGTCAGTACACTATCATTGCTCCCAGAATATCACTTTCATATATATCTTTCCTTCTCTTACAGGACTTGTCGTATCTACCTATGATGTGTTGATGTACACCAAACCCCAGGGATACGTGCCCACACTGGGAGCCTATGTTCGTTCCACTGTTCCCCTGGCTGGTGCAGGTGCTGTCTTTGCTGCAGTCACATGTGCTTCCACAAGCCTGCGAGGAAAGGATGATAAACTCAACTACTTTTTGGGAGGATCCGCAGCTGGTGGTATTATCGGTGTAGCTGGTAAGATGGTGTCATTTTGATACTCGCTGTTGTAATTTTACCCCTTTTTTTAATTCTCTTCACTGGTAAAGATAAACGGAATATAATTTTTTGGGTCATTCTTTATTGTACCAGATAGGTTCATTCTGTAAAAACAGTATTGGCACAATTTAAGTAACTCCATTCTATAAGATTTGTTTCAGGATTTTTCTTCAATTTTTGGTCTTAGTCTCTGAGTATGATTCTTCTCTTTTAGTGAATTCTTTTGTTTTTTTCTTTTCTTTTTTTTACTGTATATTTATTTTCATTTATTCATTGTTTATTTATTTATATTTATTATATATTTGTAATATTTTTCATCTTCATTCGTCTTTTATTTTTTCAGCACGAACCTTCCGTGTTGGAGTGCCTGTGGCCGCCTTCCTTGGTTTGTCTGCCATCCTCTACAAGGACTCGAAGGACAATGGCTGGAAGCTCTTCCCGGGAGTCACTCACAGAGTTGGCTCCTTTGACCACGTTAGCTATGACTTCACCCTCCAAAAGTCACACAAGTAAAAGGGGGTTTATTTTTGTCGCCGGCTGTAATTACGAACCAGAAGCAGTTTCCGGAGCAGCTTTATGTTGTTTTTCAGAAATAAGGATGCATTGAAATTCCTGAAATGCTTGTATATGTTTGAAAAAGGCATTTCGGAAGAAATGAGTCAAAATTATCACATGCAATAAAAACAAACCATAAAGTTTGAACATCAGTATAGCTTGGTGGAAAGTTAGTAACACGAAATTAATGACCATACCTAATTTTAGAAGGATGTTTACAGTGTAAATAAATATTTATAATAAGACATCATTGTTTATGCATATATCCTTTTCTTTAAAAGAAAATATATATATCCGTAATGGAGTTATTGTTTAATACTGATTTTTGTTTAATTTTTTATGAAAATATCCATTTTGGAGAAAGTTGCTGGAAATGCAGACTGACCTTCAAGTCAAGATTTATGTTGAAAAAAATCAATGAAAGTCATACCTTTAACAAAGTTTGTTAAAGTCTGTGAGGCAATTTCATAATAATGTGATGATTTTACTCTTTTTGCATGAAAGGTAATTTGCATCATGCCCAAAGGATTTCTTCAGTAAACCAGTTCATAGTACAGCCTTTATATCTAAATTATTTTACTCTTTTTGCTCTACGGATTTATAAAATGATACCTCCCAATACCAACTGATGAGTATTCAGGCTTGCATTTTCTTGATGACAAATTTTTTCGAATGTCCTCTTATATTTTTCATCTTCTCATATTTCTTAAGTATACAAGCATCGCCAAGGAGTCAATTACTAGGCCTATCTGGCTGGAACTCTTTACTTAATTTCATGAGATTTTGGGAAATGTACATTAGTTTCAACTATTTGTATTATCATCAGGAACATGATTATTATTATTTATATTACTTATTTTTTATTGTATTATCATTTATGTATAATTTATTATTATTATTATTATAATCATTATTATTATCAATTATTATGGATGATATTATTATTATTATTATTATCAATCATTATGGATGATATTATTATTATTATTATTATCATTTTTTATATAATCATCATCATCAACATTATGATTGATATTATTAGTAGTATTTATTATTGTTGTTGTTGTTGGGGGGGGGAGGAGCAAAGGCAGGTAGGCGAGTGAAGTGAACAAAAATTTAGAAAAAGTAAATACTATGCTAGCAGCATTTTAAGGCTATAAATGGACCTATACAGGTATGATTCTTAAAAAAGCTAAAATAAATGTGGCCCTTAAGGGGAGGCAAACATATTCTTGGAAATACAACATCCCCCCCCCAGCCCTTAGATGATGTCAACAGGTTAAAAAAAGGTCTCAACAGTTAACTTTATTAGGAAAATGAACTTGAAACCTGATATTTAAGAAAGGAAAATTAGGAGAAATTTGCACATTAGATAAAATGTTTATTCATAGGAGAATTAGTATGCTTTATATATACTTACAATTAATGATTATTCATTGCCAATCAATACAATGTATGGAACTTTAGTAACAAATTTGAGTCAAAAGATACTGGACTCAAGTTCACTTACACACTAATTAAGAATCATGCCATCTTGACGTAGAGAAATGTTATATCAAAGAATATGGACTGAAGAAACTGTTTTTAGTTGCTCCTTGGTACAGTGTAATCCTTCAAACCTTCATACATCGTTCTGCAACAAAGAAGAGAGATGGTGAAGGGAGACCCAAGTTAGTAATTTATTCCAATATTTTTTTCCTTTCTTTTTCCTTTTTTGTTTCCTTTTTTCATTCAACATACAAGCTAAAAGAGCAAAACATTTCTTACGTCATCATGGGGTTGATCCCTAAGCCGCACCAGCCTTTGAAGTCGTCATCGTCAATAGCCCAGTTCATAGCCCCAAGGTATCCATTTTCTCGAATATAGTCCATCTTGATCTTTAGACTCTCGGTGTCTTCGTACCCAATCCACTGGTCTCCTGAAGGAAAAATTTATTATATTTCAAAACCTATTAAGCTGCAGCAGCTCATTTTACCATGTGAAAGTATGAGTGTATTTATCATTATTCAGTCATTAGTTTTTGTGTTGTTACTAGCTAATTTCAGGATTTGTGTATATAACCCATGATTATAATTAAATGTACATCTAATCAAATTATATACTTGTGTTTGATAACAACATAGTGAATAAATTCCCTATACTGAGTGCAGTAGGTTCTAGCAGGCAAAAAAGAGAGAAAGAAAAGTAAAAGTAATTGAAAATTATTATATTTTTAAAGTAAATTTTTGAGAGCTGTTTATTCCAATTATTTAATAAAGTATAAAATTATAAGAGAAAATATTTTCTTTAAATACACATAAAATTGCATATACAAGAATGTGCAAAGTGTTCACATCTTTTGCCATAGTGATATTCATATGGACTAACATGACTTCTACAAGAAAAGAAATAGTCTTACCTTTGTATGCATAAGGAACTAAACCTTCATTATCCCATTCTCTTGTCCATTCAGGGTCATTCATCAAGTTTGTGCAGATCTAGTGTAAGAATTTTGATGAAGTATCATGTTTAAATTGTTCATACAAATGAGTATTACAATCATGGCACAATATTTACACAGGTATATTTCAAGGCAATCATTCTAGGTCAAATTTATAAACAAATAAACACAAGTCGCTCGGTGCTCATTAAGAAACCAGTAAATCCTCTTGGGCATGGTAAAATTCTCAAATAAATTTGTGACTTAAAAACTAGCCTATCCCTAGTTTGGCAGCCTTGCACAAAATCTCAAACTTGCAAGATACTAATTGAAAACATAAATATGTCTCTTCTTATTAATTATGATAAATCTCAAAACTTGCAAGATATAGATAATTAGCAACAAATATGTCACATATTATTGATAATGATATGAAAGATAAGCGAAAAATTTGGTATAGCACCCTCAGACCACGAGAACGCTATATTGATTCAACAGTTTGATAATCATGTCATAAATGTTTCTTACCTCAAAGTATACCAGGACAGTAGGATCTCCCAATATCGGACCTGGGTTTCCAGTCCCAGTGATCGGGGCGTGAAGTCCATGCAGAGAAGGATCAGAGAGTGTGAAGCTTCGTCCATAGAAGGGCACTCCTAGTACCAGCTTGTCTCGTGGGCATCCAAATTCCTCCCAGAGAAGTGCACCGTCACTCTACTCGAAAAAATGGGACTTCGATTTTTAATTTACATTGAATATAACGTTCTGCTCGCAAAAGATGGGATTTCAATTTATAATTTACACTGGATATAACCTGGAATATCTAAATGTTGATCCAAGCAGTTTTGTCACCTGATAATGAGGAAAGCTACTTGCAAAGTTAGTCAACACACCAAGTTTATTTCCTCGAGAATGCCAAAGTCGAGGCCAGATCTCCGATAGAGCATTGAATGCACGTCAGCAAAGTCATTCCACACTCCTCGCAGATCGTAGCCCATGAGGTGAACGGCATCAACAACTCTGAAGTAATGTGTAGTTATTCAATGATCACTTAGTCATAAAAGGAAGCACTGCCTATTTTCATTAAACCCATTATGAAGACATATGGTGATTACAATACAACCCTTGGGAAAAAAAATTCACTCCAATTCACTCCTAACAGTCAAATGAAGACTATTTTGTATTAATCTTAACCACTGTCGACGTTGTTAGCTGTACCTGCACAGTTCCAGGACGCTGTATCCATCCACCAGTCTGTACCTCACGATGGGCACTGCCATGGTTAGCTCCAGGCTTTGGCTCTCCGCATCCAAGGCCGCCCGTAATTCGTCCATCTAATTAATAACGATAATAATGATAATAATAATAAAGATGATAATAATAATAACAATGATACGAATAACAACAATAATAATGATAATAATAATTATTATAATAATAATGATAATAACAATAATAATGATAGTAATAACAATGATACTAATAATTAAGTTCATATAATAATGATGATAATAATAATAATGATAATAACAATAATAATAATAATAATAATGAAGTTCATAATAATAATGATGATGATAATAATAATAATGATAATAACAACAATAATGATAATAATAATAATAATGAAGTTCATAATAATAATGATAACAATAATAATAATGATAATAATAATAATGATGATAACAATAATAATAATGATAATAATAATAATAATGATAATAATAATAACAATAATGATAATAATAATAATAATGATAATAATAACAATAATAATAATGATAATAACGTTCAAAATTATAATGACGGTAACAATAATAATGAAAATAAAAAAAATAGTGATAACTAATAAAATATATATATAATGTAATAATGGCAAAATAATTGTATATATCAACCTTCTTTATTGAACTGATTTAGAAATTCTATAGATGTCAATACTTAAGAAAGGACTATACCAGCAACCGGAAATTTTCTTTGTCATCTGGTGTATCGGGGTATTCCCAGTCTACGTCAACACCATCGAACATGTACGTCTTTACAAGGTCTGAAAGTATAACAAGGTCATTTGGCGATTGCGTATAATCTAAATGACTGTTCAGACTCGTAGAAGTTTACGATATTCAGAAATGTGTGTGAATTAATTGAATATTTTTTTTTCTAATTTTTGTAATATCAGTATATTAAGTCACACGGGTTGCAAATAGCTAATATAATAGTAAATTCTATCTCTCTCTCTCTCTCTATCTATCTATCTATCTATATCTCTCTCTCTCTCTCTCTCTCTCTCTCTCTCTCTCTCTCTCTCTCTCTCTCTCTCTCTCTCTCTCTCTCTCTCTCTCTCTCTCTCTCTCTCTCTCTCCTCTCTCTCTCTCTCTCTCTCTCTCTCTCTCTCTCTCTCTCTCTCTCTCTCTCTCTCTCTCTCTCTCTCTCTCTCTCTCTCTCTCTCCTCTCTCTCTCTCTCTCTCTCTCTCTCTTCCTCCCCATCCTCCTCCCCCCCCCTCTCCTCCTCTCCTCTCTCCTCCTCCCTCTCTCCTCCTCCTCCCCTCTCCTCCTCAATCCTCTCCCTCTTCCCCTCTCCTTCTCCCTCCCTCTCCCTCTCCCTCCCTCTTCCTCTCCTCCTCATCCCCATCCCCATCCTCCCCTCCCCCTCCCCTTCCTATCCTCTCCGTCTCCCTCTCTCTATCTCGGCTGTTGACGCGGAAGGCAATTTAAAACAATCAATCTCTCTCTATCTACCAATAAGTAATGATAATAATAAATAAATAATAAATAATATCACTCACCTATGACACTCCGGACGAAGATAGCTCTCCGCTCCTCGTTGCTGGCCATCTGCGAGAAGACCCCCGCGACCCCACTGGCCCCGCCCCCTACACCCAGGGTCGCGGTGAGGCCCGGGAAGCGATCCTTCAACCCCACAAACCTTTCGTAACCGCCCGCATCAATGTCGAACTTTTGGGGAAGGAATGAGTGTAATGTAGAGATATGTGGTGAGCGATAGTTGTCTATGTTAGTAATATAAAGTGGGCTGTTGGAGAAGATAACGAAATTTATTAGATTTACTGGTTGTATTGACCGAGAAGAGATCATCTTAAAGTATTAGTTCCCGTAAACTCTCGTCTTGAAGTTCCGCATTACAAACTGTGTAGTCGTTGTAATTAATTTTCTTGTTTGAAATTAATAGTGAGTAATATACAGCACCGAACTCAATAATGTTATTGGATCTGGTAAAAACTATAATTAATCACTTTGGTAGGTAAAATCAAATGAAAAAATAATATTACATCAGGAGTAAGTCACGGACTCTGAAAATCATTTTCTTGATTTCTTATAAATACATCAATATACTGCATATGGTGAACGTCATCTTCAGCGTCTTTATGTCACACTGTACTTTTAAATCGGATTTATCCGCGTATGTCGGTCTTTAGGCCAATATGGCGGCCACGATGTGTTCCTATATTCTCTAAAGACTGGCTGTTCCACATGCTTGAATATATTTCCGATTATATGAGTAGTTTTTTGTATCTTTGTGTAAGTTTACAGTTTTCCCGGATCACATTGCGTTTATAGCGTTTCATTTCCGTGTTATACATTAATTTAACAAAAAAAAAAATGGCGGGAAAGTGGTTTCCAGAGGGCGCAGTTTTCTTTTTTTTAATGAACCAAGTTTTTGTATATAAAGCCTATTTTTTTCTAATCAGTCCTTGAGACCTTGCACGTCTCTATTGATATATTTTTTCTAGTCATACTTCGTGACCTTAAACTGTTCTAACCAAACAATACATCAAATCCAATGAAAACACCCACCCTTATCCTGTTAAACAATACGTAATACCTAATAAAGCCTTGTGACCTTACACTTGGGTTCGAAGGCCTGACCTCCCACGTGACATTGGAGAGGCCAGCGAAAGCGTAGATGATGTGAGAGCAGAGGTCACCTGGAATATCCTCTATCCTGTAACTAGATTCTCCCGGCCGATAGACAGTGCCTGCCTGGTAGTAACAGACCGTTCTCGCTGGCTTGTCTAACTCGGTCTCAGCTGTCAAGGAATGTTAATATATCTTTTTTAAGGTTTTGTTTTGAAAGTAGGCCTATATTATAAATTCATTTTTCATTTATTATTATCATTGTTTGTATTATTTGGGGGAGGGGGGTATTTGAAAAGTGTATATATATATATATTATATATATATATATATATTATATATATTATATTATATATATATATATATATTTTTTTTTTTTTTTTTTGAGGGGAAGGGTTATTAAAAATGTATCAGTATATTTCTCGGGGGGTATTTGAGCAGTATATCGTCATTACATATATTTTTTGGGGGTATTTGAAAAGTATATCATCAAATATATATTTTTTGGTTGCAGTTGTAGGGGGGGGATTAAGAAATATATCATTAGTATATTTTTTCGGAGGGTATTTGAACAGTTTATTGTCTTCTTTTTTCTTTTTTTTGGGTGGGGGGGGGGGATTTAGAAAAGTATATCATCAATATGTTTGGGTGTTTCTTTGAAAAATATATCATCATATATATATATATATATATATATATATATATATATATATTACGTTTATTTGAAAAGTATATCATCCATATATTTTTTTAATGGAGTTTTTGTAAAGTATACCATCAATATAGCTTTGGGGATATATGAAAAGTTCATAATCAAAGATATTTGTCATATTGATCGTAAAATCATAAGAAGTCGAATAATATAATTTGTCTCCTCCGTTTAGCTTACATTTCGAGGCGAGAGCATGTTGCAGGGATCCACAAGTCAGGATTATTAACGGCCATACACATGCCGCCATCCAGTGTCCGTTCGCCATGCCTGATGTGCCGAAGTCCTGGAAATTTAAGCGCGCATTGCTGGAATCCTTTTTCTTTCTTTTTCTTTCTTTTTTTTATCTTATCACTTTGTAGGTTGTGTGCGTTCCTTTTTTATTTATGTAGATATTTACTTAAGAAACTACTTTCTTTTTCGCTTTTACCTCTATCTATCTATCTGTCTCTCTCTCTCTCTCTCTCTCTCTCTCTCTCTCTCTCTCTCTCTCTCTCTCTCTCTCTCTCTCTCTCTCTCTTCTCTCTCTCTCTCTCTCTCTCATCTCTCCTCTCCTCTCTCTCTCTCTCTCTCTCTCTCTCTTCTCTCTCTCTCTCTCTCTCTCTCTCTCTCTCTCTCTCTCTCTCTCTCTCTCTCTCTCTTCTCGCTCTCTCTCTCTCTCTCTCTCTCTCTCTCTTTCTTCCTCTATCTATCTCCTCTCTCTCTCTCTCTCTCTCTCTCTCTCTCTCTCTCTCTCTCTCTCTCTCTCTCTCTCTCTTTCTCTTCTCTTTCTTCTCTTCTCTCTCTCTCTCTCTCTCTCTCTCTCTCTCTCTCTCCTCTCTCTCTCTCTCTCTCTCTCTGTCCCATGCATCATCACATTTAATTTTCATGATTGACTGTGTGTAGCTGCTCTTATATAAATGAATAACAGAAACAAAAAAAATAGAGAAAATAATTGAAAACGAAACCCATTAAAGTGAAACCAAAATTCACTTACCAAGGTACAGCTTGTGTCGCGTCAGACTGCCTGGGGTGTTTATCAGCAATCTGTCCTGCTGCTTCCTGAGGGTGCAGCGTGGGAAGTGGTTTGCTGGATTCTTATCTCTCTGGCTTATCTCAGGATTTTATTCGTCAACACATCTCCTGTTGTTTGGCAGATGGCTTTATAAGAAAATTTCGGGTGAGTTTTAACTAATTTCGTTTTTATTTTCAGTCTTATCTGTTTACACGTGTTCAGATTGCATTCGTTCTCGTGGTAGTGTGAGCTAGCGTATTGTTCATGTATGAATAAATAACCAAAATGATTATAAAATTGGAACCAGAAGAAAGTAATTATTTTTTACGACATATCATTCCGGGAAGTCAAACAACCGAACAGTTGTGTGTACATTATCACTAATTATCAGCAGCATCCTCGTGCCACATGTAAGAATTCACAATAAATCGTTGTTGCTCTCATCTCTCTCTTTCTCTCTCTCTTCCTCCCTCTCTCTCTCTCTCTCGCTCGCTCTCGCTCTCTCTCTCTCGCTCTCTCTCTCTCTCTCTCTCTCTCTCTCTCTCTCTCTCTCTCTCTCTCTCTCTCTCTCTCTCTCTCTCTCTCTCTCTCTCTCTCTCTCTCTCTCTCTCTCTCTCTCTCTCTATGTCTATTTAGTTCTCTTTATTGTCTAATTTTTTAAAGATATCATAAAGAACAGATCTAATAAGAAACTGTAAATAAACCTTTGTTGTGTTCCTGTCCGCTAGTCTTTGTCCTTATTGTTCGTTCAATAGTTTTCCTTAATAACTGCTCATTTCTCTTTTTTTAAGGTATCATGCAGAACAGGTCTATTCATAACCTGTAAAGCCACATATTGTAAACATAACACGAACACTAAAGAGTAATATATCGGATTCTCTGAACAGATATTAAGTGAAGATGAATAACTAGTAAAAAAAAAAATAATAATAATAATAATAATAAAATAAAATTACTAGTGAAAATGTAGTTTGGTTTCGTTGAGCTGAAGCATCGAATCAAAAGGTGTTGAATATTTTATATATTCATCTTTCATTCTCATGACATGGTACGCTTGACCGCTCAGGAGAAAGGGACAGGACATACCGGTATTAAAAGAGGAAGAGGGAAAGAATGATAAACTTGGAGATGGCAAAAGTCTCACCCAAATTTTTATTTTCTTGATTTACTTCGTCGAATATTTTTTTTCATGGGTTTTAGGAGGTTGTGGCTGTCTACAAGGTGTGTAATTTTGTGCATCACTTTGCACTTTTTAATTTTCATTTAGATAAACTAACATATCTACAGTGTATTTATTAACATATTTTGTAGCATTTGTAATTATTATTCAACGGGTATTTTGTATTGCCTCATTTTCAGCATCTCAAACTCATTTTATCTCATCTATCTTGAAAAATAAAATTAAAATCACAATGAAGTTTAAACATACTGCAATCATAGCACTTGTGAAAGCATGGTTGAAGACTGGAACCAAAAATAATAAATATTACATATATATTTATGCACACACACACACACACACACACACACACACACACACACACACACACACACACACACACACACACACACACACACACACACACACACACACACACACACACACACACAACACACACCACACACACACACACACATACATCCATACATATATATACATACATACATATACATACATCCATACATATATATATACATACATCCATACATACATATACATACATACATACATACATACATACACACATGTTTAGTGTGGAATAATCTGAATCATTATGATTTAGCTCAAAGTTAGAGTTGGTCCCACAGCCGAGGGGATGAAGGAGCCATCTTGACAGAGGAACAAGACCTCGGGATGAAGCGGTCGAGTGGCTGGTTCCTCTCCGCCCTGTCTCGGAGTCCAGCGTTCGAACCCACAGCACCAGCGCCCGGCCGTTGCGCTAGGCCACCTTCTAGCGCAAGCGGGCCTCACAGGTCACCACGGTCACAGTTTAGGTGTTGGTTTGGCCCATTTCCATCACCTTCTAGCGCCTGGGTTGAAAGCGGGTCAAATATCTGTCGTGGCAGGTCACAGGTCACGGGTCACAGTCTTAGGTGTTGGTTTGGCCCATTTCCATCACCTTCTAGCGCCTGGGTTGAAAGCGGGTCAAATATCTGTCGTGGCAGGTCACAGGTCACGGGTCACAGTTTTAGGTGTTGGTTTGGCCCATTTCCATCACCTTCTAGCGCCTGGGTTGAAAGCGGGTCAAATATCTGTCGTGGCAGGTCACAGGTCACAGGTCACGGGTCACAGTCTTAGGTGTTGGTTTGGCCCATTTCCATCATTCCGTAGATGCTGTTCTCGCTCTCGTGACCGGAAGCTGTGCTGTGACCTTTTGCTGCACCGAGTTTGGGAGACTCCGCTGCGAGTGAGAGGAAAGTCCGGCGTGAAAGTGACAGATTTACTTAAGGATTTATTAGATTAATAGGATTTACTTTATTAGATTATAGATTTACTTAAGGAGATTAATAGTGTGACAGATTTACTTAAGGATTTATTAGATTAATAGTGTGACAGATTTACTTAAGGATTTATTAGATTATAGTGTGATTTACTTAAGGATTTATTTTAAGTGTTTACTTAAGGATTTATTAGATTAATAGTGTGACAGATTTACTTAAGGATTTATTAGATTAATAGTAAGTGTGACTTAGATTTACTTAAGGATTTATTAGATTAATAGTGTGACAGATTTACTTAAGGATTTATTAGATTAATAGTGTGACAGATTTACTTAAGGATTTATTAGATTAATAGTAAGTGTGACAGATTTACTTAAGGATTTATTAGATTAATAGTGTTGACAGATTTACTTAAGGATTTATTAGATTAATAGTGTGTGACAGATTTACTTAAGGATTTATTAGATTAATAGTAAGTGTGACAGATTTACTTAAGGATTTATTAGATTAATAGTGTGACAGATTTACTTAAGGATTTATTAGATTAATAGTGTGACAGATTTACTTAAGGATTTATTAGAGTGTGACACATTTACTTAAGGATTTATTAGATTAATAGTAAGTGTGACTTAGATTTACTTAAGGATTTATTAGATTAATAGTAAGTGTGACAGATTTACTTAAGGATTTATTAGATTAATAGTAAGTGTGACTTAGATTTACTTAAGGATTTATTAGATTAATAGTAAGTGTGACAGATTTACTTAAGGATTATTAGATTAATAGTAAGTGTGACTTAGATTTACTTAAGGATTTATTAGATTAATAGTAAGTGTGACTTAGATTTACTTAAGGATTTATTAGATTAATAGTGTGACTTAGATTACTTAAGGATTAATTTGATTAATGGTGAGACAGATTTACTTAAGGCTTAATTAGATTAATAGTAAGTGTGACAGATTTACTTAAGGCTTCATTAGATTAATAGTAAGTGTGACTTAGATTGACAAGGATTAATTAGATTAATAGTGAGACTTAGATATACTTAAGGCTTTATCAGATTAATAGTAAGTGTGACTTAGATTGACTTAAGCTTTATTAGATTTATAGTGAGACAGATTTACTTGCCTTATTATATTAATAGTAAGTGAGACAGATATATACTTAAGGATTTATTAGATTAATAGTGAGACAGATATACTTTAGGCTTTATTAGATTAATAATAAATGTGATTTAGATATACTTAAGACTTTATCAGACTAATAGTAAGTGGGGCAGATGTACTTAAGGCTTTATAAGATTGATAGTAAGTGTGACAGCGACTTAGGTTTACTTAAGACGTTACTGAATTAATAGTGTGACTTATATACTTAAGGCATTGTTATATTATAAGTGTGACAGATACACCTAAGGCGTTATTAGATTATAAGTAAGTGTGACAGATTTTACTCAAGGCGTTATTAGACTATAAGTGTGACAGATTTAATTAAGGCATTAGATTAATAGTATGACAGATATACTTAAGAAAATATTAGATTAAAAGTGTGACCGATTTACTGAAGGCGTTATTAAATCTATAGTGTGAATTGGATATACTTAAGGTGCTATTAGATTAACAGTGTGACAGATATACTTATGGCATATAAAAAGAATCCCTTTTGTGTGCCGACTAATATTTAAGGTCAAAGCAGGTGAGTGGTTAGGGCGAGCCACATACAGGTAGACTGTGCAAATCTCACTGAACTGAGTGGTGTGAGTGCTTGCAGTTGCTCTGTGCAATGAAGTAACGGTAAAAAAAAAACTCCTGAAGGTCAAGATCTCGAGTATACTCCCTCACGAATTCATCCGATGTATCATTTCCTAAGTATATTAACCCTCATTGATGCTCTTTTACAGGTCCGCGATGGGGAAGTATGCTAGCCTCCAGTCCCTCCTTCGCCAGACACGCCCCTCCCTCGTTCACCCACTCCTTGTATGGATCCTTCTCTCCTTCACCTCATTCCCCCTCTCCCCTCCCCTCACTCCCCACAAGGTTCCTCCATCCACAACACCCCCACCCCCCTGTTTCTCCTTGTTTATCTATGTTTTTCTTGGTACTCTTTGTTTCATTTCGTGTTGCTCCTTTTCATTCTCTGTATTCATCTCTTCCTTTCTATCTCTATATTCTTCAGTCTATCTATCTACCTTTCTTTCTCTCTTCTCCCCTCCTTAACCCTCCCCACTTCCTCACCAAAACCTAATTCCCTCTAAGCAGATCAGGTGATGAGTCATGTTCGCATCGCCCTGCTACCTGTAACCATATCAGCTAAATACTTCTCTCAAAAGGATTTTAAAAAAAAATGTCACTTTAAATCGTAACTTGGCCTACTTGTATCTTATATAGATACACAAAGACGCACGAATACACACACTCGCTTACGCACGTACACTTACGTACACACACTTAGACACAAACACGCGCCAGTACATGTAACTCGAACAGAGCGGTACCTCTTCCAACCCTTACCTGCGCGCCTTGCCCTCCAACCGGCGACGCAGACGAAGGTCAGTAGGAAGACCAGCGCCGCCCCCACGATCCCGAGGCCTATGGTATGGGCTGCACACTGGTGGTCTTGGTCTTTGGGCTGCTTAGGTCCCGGTCCTGGAAGACTGACGTTAGGTTGTGGCTCTGTAGGTTCCACGCTTGGGCGGCTGGCTTGTGGCTCTGTAGGTTCCACGCCTGGAAGACTGAGGTTCCGTCTCCGCAATGGCGCCGGGGCTGCAAGTTTCATGTAGTTTGCTGAATCTTACTGAATTTGTCAGCGAAGGTGATGCTGCTATTCGGCATAGTCGATATAGTGAGACAAAGATTCCTTTTCACTTCTAGGTATGGTTAAATCAGCATGTCTGAATCATACTTACGAAAACGTTGTAGAAGTGATCCACATGCCAGGTAATAGAGTGGTGACTGGCTTGAAATACTGAAACTGTTTGTGACGAATTCACCCACCAAATGGTTTTTGTCCCAAAAATGAAAATAAGTGTTGCATACCGGACTTATCTGTGCACAATCACCAAAGACAGCACCCTGAAAGAGATGTGAGTATGAGTCCTTGGGCATTCACTCACACTCATACGAATTCTATGTATTTTGGAAAAAAATAGTGCAGTGAACAATGACCAATAAAGAAAAAAAAACTGAAATGTGTACTGGTAGAGTAATAAAGACAAATGAGAGATAAGAGATTGTTTGTAAACACGAATAATAATTCTATGGATATTAGGCGTAGATATGACAAGGACTGAATGGGAATACGGTAATTCCAGAGTGAATGAAAAATGAATGGTAAAGATTTCTGTAATAGTTTTACATGGGATTATGAAAAATGGTAAAGGTATCGAGTCCCTGGCGTGAAATTACGTTTGGTGCAGGCGCGATACACCACGTTGAATATATGTTTCTTTACACAAAACGCAGCACACCTCTCAAAAATGTGACCGCACTGGGCTTTGCCTGAAACAAATTGACGCCCGTCAGACAGGAGCAGTCCCTGGATCTCAACAACCCGAATTGTCGAGGGTATCTCAGCTAACTGCGCAGGTTGTGGGTAGCTTTGTGCACGACCCCTTGTAGTGACGGAGCTGACCCTCGGGTAGCTTTAAATGTGGAAAAAGGGTGAAGCTCGGATGTGACTACTAATCAGGGACTGACATTTCCTCTTCATGCTGACAGAAGGTCCTCCATCGTCAGCAACAGCACCCCCCACCCCCACTCCTGTCGCCCTACACCACAATTCGGCTAACACTGCCCACGACCCGCCGTTAATCTGGTTTTGTAAATTCTCATGGAAAAAGGAATTACTGTCCAAGCACGAATAACAGCAGGGGGTTTCACGTGTCCGAAATTGAAACCAATAGAATGGTCGGGAAGAATTTAGGATGTTAGGACCGAACTACGAAAGGGCTAATGACATGGTTTATGAATTAGGTAAAGGCGGTTCCAAGTCGCCGAGTCATTAGGTAAAGTTCTTTGAAAATGGGGAGATAGGAATAAGACTTTAAAGGGAAAGTCAAGTCAAAATAAACCACTTTAAGTAAGAACAGGAGAGAGGTTCTAGAAGAGCATCAAAGCTTAAAAAAAAACAGCATCCGTTTCTTATAGTATGTGATACACCGCAACCTAATGTTCCATAAGCGCCAACCAAAGAAGTTGGGAGGGAGAGGGAGATAGATAGAAAGAGAGAGAGGGAGGGAGAAAGAGAGAGAGAGAGAGAGAGAGAGAGAGAGAGAGAGAGAGAGAGAGAGAGAGAGAAGAGAGAGAAGAGAGAGAGAGAGAGAGAGGAAGGGGAAGAGAGAATGAGGGGGAGAGGGAGAAAGAGAGAGAGAGAGCAAGAGAACGAGAGAGGAAAGAGCAAGAGAACGAGAGAGAGAGAGAGAGAGAGAGGAAGGGAAGAGAGAATGAGGGGGAGGGAGGGGAGAGGGAGGGAGGGAGGGAGGGAGGGAGGGAGGGAGGGAGAGGGAGAGAGAGAGAGAGAGAGAGAGAGAGAGGAGAGAGAGAGAGAGAGAGAGAGAGAGAGAGAGAGAGAGAGAGAGAGAGAGAGAGAGAGAGAGAGAGAGAGCGAGACCGGTAGAGAGAAATCACATATCACATACCTCATGGTATACTTCTCCCACGTAGTAAACATAAGCTTCAGGTATGTTTAGATCAACACTCTGAGAACTGGAAAATCTGATGTTGAAAGTAGTGTCGTTTTCTTCGCTGACAAAAAGAATATAGATTTTTTCCCACTTTGACTGACTCACTTCATCAGCTAAGTCGTCAATGGTTGAGGCCCATTCACTGCATACTTTGTGAAAGAGAAGAAAAAGAGATACTGAAAAATAACAATAATGACGGTAACTTAATGAGCGTTGGCAATGATAATAGAGATGGTGATAAAATCGCAACTGCAACTATAGTCTACTACTGACAATGAAAATGGTAGAAATGACTGTAAATTAATATTGATACGATATATATTTTTATTTCTAATTTGAAACGAAAATGGTACAGGATAAATGTTTGAAAATTGCCTTACCTTCATTTTTTTGGCGAAATTTATATACCGCATCACTTGATCAATGAATAATAATCATATTCATAGATAATTTAATGTCACCACATGATAATTCTAAAGTTATTGCAAATTTATTTCCAACAAATTAGAAGTTGAATCAAGATATAACCTTGGCAATAATACCAGTGATAATACGATATATAATTTAATCTCTAAATTAAAACGAAAACGACACAGGATAATGTTTGAAAATTGTCTGATGTTGAAAAAGATTTATTTTCTCGAAAATCCATATACCGTTGGTCATTTGATTAACAAATACCTATTTTTATTGTCATGCGATTTTCAATCTATTCCACAGCTATTCCCATGCCACCTCATAATAATTTTAAAGTTATTACAAAGTTTATTCCAACCCAATTGGAAGTTGAACCAAAGTCGTATTAGATATTAAGAAAACTGTTAATGATACTCACACTTTGTCGAAGCGACCAACTTTGCCGTGAGTAGGAGAACCAGAATATGTGTACCCATGTTTGTAGTTTCAGGATAACTGAAATTGGTTCTTGGTTAACGAGTGAAACGCCACACAGATTGTAAGGCTCATGGACTAGCT